AAAAAAAAAAAAAAAAAAATTGTTAAAGATATTTTAAGAAGCTATATTGAACAACTCTTTACAAATTATACTGTGTATGCTGAACTTATGAATAAAAGTGGGACGACCCCACAAAAGAGAAAAAAAATGTGTCAACTTTTAGGACTTGTTTATGCATTATATTTGTTGCTAACTGTATATGGGGGTAATATTCACTTGATATTTTTAAGTTTCTTAAAATTAACACTTGTCATCCTAAAAATCTTACCTTCATTCAATCTTTTGCTAGAACCAATGCCTGAAAATAATCTGTTTTTTAATCATTTTCCACAGGTATGGGACAGACTACCCAATGCTAGTAATATCCCATTGAATAACCTAAGTTCATTCTATAGAAGTTATTCTATTACTACTAATAATAATATTAATAATAATAATAATAATAATAATAATAATAATAATAATAATAATATTAATAATATTAATAATAATAATAATAATAATAATAATAATAACAATAATAATAATAAGAATATTAATACTTGATTTTAATGATTATATTCATTGTACTGGCTTTTGTAAGGTAAACCACTTAATAGTAGATTCAGTTTGCTTTTTGGTTTTCCTCTCCGTTTGTTTGATTTGTTTTAAGGCCTCTTTACACATCTTTTTATCGTTGATCCTTACCTTTGTAGTGCAAACAGGCCTTTACTGTTTAAATGTATTGTTTATTGTATATTGTTTATGTTCAGAAAGAAGTAAATGAAATTAATAACAATTTGCTGTCACATACACTGACATCCACGCCTGCATTATACAGAAGTGCATTTTGGATTCCACTTCATAAACAATGAACGAGTCGAAGTTAAAATATACTGCTGATGGGGTCATATTTACAAAAACAGTTGTGTCATCTCCGTTTACACATATTTTTATTTCAACTTTTGTTTGAATGCAACGTTTACAAATTACGTTGTTTTATTTGTTTTTGGTTTTTTTTTAACAGCTAGTCATTAATACATTGTACCGGTATATAAAATAATAACGATATAAAAAAAAAACATACCATTAGTGTCATTTGACATTGTAGATTCTGTATAAATATAAAAAAAATGTAAATTACTAGCTAGTTAAAAATTTCTAATGCATTATAACATTTATTATATTTAAAAGGTACTGATTAATTACAAAATTTAAAACTTCGTTGGACAATTATGTTTAACCTAATATCAGTTAATGACAGGTAATAGAGTAGTTATAATAGGCAATTTAATTTCTATGTATGTGGATTACACTGTTATGAGTTTAATAAAAGAACAAAATTGGGACCAAGACTAACAGAAACTTTTTAATCCTGGACACCGACAGGTTTGTGCGCAAACCGCCTTAATATATGATCTAAATGTAAGATTATGTAATATTGTAACCCCCGTCAGGAAAGTTCGCAGAGATTCTTCGGGGGACAAAAAAATAATATTTTAAAACGTTTATATAAAATGTTGACCTTAGTTCGATAGGCCTATATAAATTAATCGTTTGTACACCGATGAGATACAAAAAACACTATCCTTAGGTCGAGATGCCCTACTGTATAAGCATCTACCAGTATTTGTAAACATGTCTTGATTTCCCCAAGCCTTACCCATCTTAGTAAAGTAAATTGAAATTATTATTAAAATATTTAAGAGTTGCTAATCCATTAAAACACTTAACAATTAAGTTTAATTTTGTTAGAAATTAAAGTTTTTAAATATTACAACCTAATTTAAGCTGTCTCAACTACAAATTTAAAAAGCATATACATAATAATAATCAGTAAAAAACATACCATCAGTTGTCACTGATGTGGTTGGCTGCAATGTTGTAGATTCTGTAAACATATAAAAATATCATTAACACTTAAAAGGTACTTTTTAATTATAACATTTCACAAGTTTTAACTTTGTTGGACATTAAAGTTAATTAAATTTTACCACTTAATATCAGTTGTCTTCACTGTTATTAATGGCTGAGCTGTAGTTGCAGATTCTGAATACACACATTTTTGAAATACATACATAATAATAGTTAAGAAAATACTCTCAGTTGCCACTAATGTGGTCGATGTTAGCACTGTTGTAAGTTCTGTATGAATACAGACTTTGAATGATATTTAAGAGTTGCTAATCAATTAAAACACTTAACAATTAAGTTTAATTTTGTTGGAAACTAAAATTTTTAAATATTATTAACCTAATTTCAGCTGTCTCAACTACTAGTGATGGTTGAAACTGTAGTTTCAGACTCTGAATGAACAAATTTAAAAAGCATATACATAATATTAATCAGTAAAAAACATACCCTCAGTTGTCACTGATGTGGCTGGCTGCAATGTTGTAGATTCTGTAAACATATAAAAATGTCATTAACACTTAAAAGGTACTTTTTAATTATAACATTTCACAAGTTTTAACTTTGTTGGACATTAAAGTTAATTAAGTTTTACCACTTAATATCAGTTGTCTTCACTGTTATTAATGGCTGAGCTGTAGTTGCAGATTCTAAAAATACAAATGTTTTTAATACATATATTATAATAATTAAGAAATTACTCTCAGTTGCCACTAATGTTGTCGATGGTAACACTGTCTCAACTACTAGTAATAGTTGATAATGTTGTTTCAGACTCTGAATGAACAAATTTATAAAGCACATGCATGGTAATAATTAGTTAAAAACATACCCTCAGTTGTCACTAATGTGGTTGGCCGCAATGTTGTAGGTCCTGTATACATATAAAAATGTTATTAATACTTAAAGGGGTACTTTTTAATAATAACATTTCACAAGTTTTAACTTCGTTGGACATTAAAGTTAATTAAATTTTACCATTCAGTTTTCTTCACGGTTATTAATGGCTGAGCTGTAGTTGCAGATTCTAAAAACACACATTTTTTAAAAACATACATAATAATTAAGAAATTACCTTCAGTTGCCACTAATGTGGTCGATTTTAGCACTGTCTCAACTACTAGTAATAGTTGATAATGTTGTTTCAGACTCTGAATGAACAAATTTATAAAGCATATACATAATATTAATCAGTAAAAAACATACCTTCAATTGTCACTGATGTGGTTGGCTGCAATGTTGTAGATTCTGTAAACATATAAAAATGTCATTAACACTTAAAAGGTACTTTTTAATTATAACATTTCACAAGTTTTAACTTTGTTGGACATTAAAGTTAATTAAGTTTTACCACTTAAGTTTTACCACTAATGTGGTCGATTTTAGCACTGTCTCAACTACTAGTAATAGTTGATAATGTTGTTTCAGACTCTGAATGAACAAATTTATAAAGCATATACATAATATTAATCAGTAAAAAACATACCTTCAGTTGTCACTGATGTGGTTGGCTGCAATGTTGTAGATTCTGTAAACATATAAAAATGTCATTAACACTTAAATGGTACTTTTTAATTATAACATTTCACAAGTTTTAACTTTGTTGGACATTAAAGTTAATTAAGTTTTACCACTTAATATCAGTTGTCTTCACTGTTATTAATGGCTGAGCTGTAGTTGCAGATTCTAAAAATACAAATTTTTTTAATACATATATTATAATAATTAAGAAATTACTCTCAGTTGCCACTAATGTTGTCGATGTTAACACTGTCTCAACTACTAGTAATAGTTGATAATGTTGTTTCAGACTCTGAATGAAATGACTCTGAATAAAGTTAATTAAATTTTACCATTCAGTTTTCTTCACGGTTATTAATGGCTGAGCTGTAGTTGCAGATTCTAAAAACACACATTTTTTAAATACATACATAATAATTAAGAAATTACCTTCAGTTGCCACTAATGTTGTCGATGGTAACACTGTCTCAACTACTAGTAATAGTTGATAATGTTGTTTCAGACTCTGAATGAACAAATTTATAAAGCATATACATAATATTAATCAGTAAAAAACATACCTTCAGTTGTCACTGATGTGGTTGGCTGCAATGTTGTAGATTCTGTAAACATATAAAAATGTCATTAACACTTAAAAGGTACTTTTTAATTATAACATTTCACAAGTTTTAACTTTGTTAAATCAAGAACAAATTTATAAAGCACATGCATGGTAATAATTAGTAAAAAACATACCCTCAGTTGTCACTAATGTGGTTGGCCGCAATGTTGTAGGTCCTGTATACATATAAAAATGTTATTAATACTTAAAAGGGTACTTTTTAATAATAACATTTCACAAGTTTTAACTTCGTTGGACATTAAAGTTAATTAAATTTTACCATTCAGTTTTCTTCACGGTTATTAATGGCTGTAGTTGCAGATTCTAAAAACACACATTTTTTAAATACATACATAATAATTAAGAAATTACTCTCAGTTGCCACTAATGTTGTCGATGGTAACACTGTCTCAACTACTAGTAATAGTTGATAATGTTGTTTCAGACTCTGAATGAACAAATTTATAAAGCACATGCATGGTAATAATTAGTAAAAAACATACCCTCAGTTGTCACTAATATGGTTGGCCGCAATGTTGTAGGTCCTGTATACATATAAAAATGTTATTAATACTTAAAAGGGTACTTTTTAATAATAACATTTCACAAGTTTTAACTTCGTTGGACATTAAAGTTAATTAAATTTTACCATTCAGTTTTCTTCACGGTTATTAATGGCTGAGCTGTAGTTGCAGATTCTAAAAACACACATTTTTTAAATACATACATAATAATTAAGAAATTACCTTCAGTTGCCACTAATGTGGTCGATTTTAGCACTGTCCCAACTACTAGTAATAGTTGATAATGTTGTTTCAGACTCTGAATAAACAAATTTATAAAGCATATACATAGTAATAATCAGTAAAAAACATACCCTCAGTTGTCACTAATGTGGTTGGCCGCAATGTTGTAGGTCCTGTATACATATAAAAATGTCATTAATACTTAAAAGTGTACTTTTTAATAAAAACATTTCACAAGTTTTTAACTTCGTTGGACATTAAAGTTAATTCAATTTGACCATTTAATATCAGTTTTCTTCACTGTTATTAATGGCTGAGCTGTAGTTGCAGATTCTAAAAACACACATGTTTTAAGTACATACATAATAGTTAAGAAATTACGTTCAGTTGCCACTAATGTGGTCGATTTTAGCCCTGTTGTAGGTTCTGTATGAATACAAACATTGAACAATTAGTTAAGAGTTGCTAATCAATTAAAACACTTAACAATTAAGTTTAATTTTGTTGGAAATGAAGTTTTTTAATATTATAACCTAATTTCAGCTGTCTCCACTACTGGTTATGGTTGACACTGTCGTTTCAGACTCTGAATGAACAAATTTATAAAGCATATACATAGTAATAATTAGTAAAAAACATACCCTCAGTTGTCACTAATGTGGTTGGCTGCAATGTTGTAGGTCCTGTATACATATAAAAATGGCATTAATACTTAAAAGGGTACTTTTTAATAATAACATTTCACAAGTTTTAACTTCATTGGACATTAAAGTTAATTCAATTTTACCATTTGATATCCGTTTTCTTCACTGTTATTAATGGCTGAGCTGTAGTTGCAGATTCTAAAAACACACATGTTTTAAATACATACATAATAATTAAGAAATTTAGCACTGTTGTAGGTTATGTATGAATACAAACATTGAACAATTAGTTAAGAGTTGCTAATCAATTAAAACACTTAACAATTAAGTTTAATTTTGTTGGAAATGGAAGTTTTTTTTTAAATATTATAACCTAATTTCAGCTGTCTCCACTACTGGTTATGGTTGACACTGTCGTTTCAGACTCTGAATGAACACATTTAAAGCGTAGATCCAGACGGACATTATGTTTCTTAGTAAGTGCCGTAAGGAAAACGTTGTATCTTCTGGACTCATAGTTAAGAGCCCTTTGATTCTCTGAAGAACACCTATTGCACCCCATATTTTAATAGAATATGTCAATCTCTATCAGTGAAACTCCGTAATCATCTGATCACCATTATGTATAATTAACAGAACACAATCACGAAGAAACTTAGGAATTTGAACAAGACATCGAAATCACATCACACAATCAGAATGCAACGAAGCGGCAATGATTGCAACAGAAATGGGTGATATCCAATTCAAGAAACTTAAACTGGTGAAAGATCAAAAATTTACAAAGCTCATTAACCGGAGCATAATTCCATGCGTAAGTACTTGTGTACCACCTCACACTAAAAATGTTGTCAACATCTCCACGTACACTCCATCCTCTATAGAAATTGCCGTCCTACAGAAAGGTCTTTCTGCCCGTCAACTAAACTTGCCACAGGTTTCCTGGAGGCTGAGCGCCGCTGCACAGTGGGCCAGATTGAAGTCAAAGTGTGCCAAAATTAATTACTCATTACAGAAGCTAATCTAAGCGAATACAAGACTTATCTAGAGGTTTTCATACCCGTAGAATTCAATAAAAGCATTTTCAAATCTATATGACGTCATTTTTGTACTGTTTTCTGATTGGACGATGTCAGTTTTCATTGTAATACCAGGGAACAGTAAAATTACAAATTAATTTTGAAATGTTAAGGAGGTTTGGGACAAAAGAACTTCTGTGGAAAACTTTTTGTATTTTCCATGACGTCATCAAAATACATTTTTCTGATTGGAAGAGGCCAAAAGTGGCATAGGCCAACATGAAAATTTCTATTGTTAATCTTACAGTGAATATAAATCAAAATCAAAATTGATAATAATTCTAGACAACCTAATTTTACATTTTTTAAATGTAAAATGTGTTTGCATCTGAAATTCCATGGAATTATCAGACATTGCCTACACCAATGTCATGATAATGATAATCATATATTGTCATATATTAATTCTGTCCCCAATAGTATTAGGCCTATATTGTAAAAGTATCGACAATGGTCGTTTTATGTTGTTTTTTTTAAATAATTCTCAGTGCAGTATGAACGAGGAGGCTTTGAAGAGGAACTTTTGCTGTCCTCTTTGACAGGTATACTGTACCACCAGGATAGCAATGCTTTTTTGCTACTCTTTATTTTGGTGCAAGAGGAGTCTCATTTTACTATGGAGCTACAAAGATGGACAGTGTTTCATCTGTCGTGAACGATTCCGGTTTGCGCCTCAGGGGTGACACCAGCAGGGGGAATGGGGTAGGGTCCCCGTCGAGGAAAGCTCCCACCCCCACCCTGGCGTTGGGGAGATAAACTACAATTCGTCAGGGAGAAATAAAATGTGTATGTATTTTCTACATATTAGTAGACTCTAAAATCGATTCTTCTTGAATGTGCCTTGCAATGCTGCATAAAGAAGTTCAGTGTGTACATTTTATGTCAACATCTCTTGTACTTTACCCTTGTGCGAACTCTCTGAAAAGATCCTCCCATACATCGATAGGACGTCCCGGTCTGGGTCTGTTTTAAGCCTCTTGTGGGTTTCCTGTTGGTGTGGAAAGAATATCTTCTGTTCTGTGTCAAAACATTAATAACTTCATCAGAAAATGGAATCCTCAGGATTGCCACGAGTTATTTTCTTTAGAAACCCGGCAAACACGTGTTTACGTTCTTATAACGTTCTTGGCGAATGTTGTGGTTAGGTATGTCACAAAATAACGTTTACCCAACGTTGTAGGAACGTGCAAACGTTGTGAAATTATGTTCAGTATGAATTTATGGTTCTACAAAATAAAGTTTTCAACACAAAACTGTAACGTTATTGTCACGTTATCATAATGTATTATTGTTTGCTGGGAAGGTCGTTACTACTCGCGTAGTAGCTCACCTCTCCTTAAGTTGAAACAGGAAGTTTTTCAAAGTCTTGGATGTGTTTGAATAAAGTTAAAAACAATTGACGCCTAGATATAGGCCTGCTTGTAGATGTCATCTTCATTATGATATATGGTATTTGGATTATTAGGCTGCTCAAAATAAAGTATTCTAAACAGCAACAAAATATTAGAAGATTTGCTACTGTTAAATCACGAGCAGTTTGTCAATTTTTTAAGTGCTTTTCCCACGCTTTGCATGAACTGGTTGAGTAGACGCGCGTTACATCCCTCTGATTTGCGGTTTGCTCTAATTAAATTGTGTCTCAAATGTACGAAAACAAGACTA